AATTCTTATTATCAAAAAGTGAACTCCTATTCACGTGGAGGAAGCCTAAAAGGCCATTAACTTGGTCTGAACAAGCTTCCAAAGAACATGGTGTCCATGAAAGAGAAAAATAAGCCGGCTGCCGCTTCTCCCGGGTGCCCACGCGGCCCAGAGGTGGCAGGGCACCGGTGGGGGGCCGGGTCCCTCTTCTGGTTCCGGAAAAGGATGGGTGGGTGGTCGCCGGAGCGAAGTTTCCAGCCCAGGATTCCTGCGAAATTACCACGGCTCACCAGCGCCTGTGATGTGCTGTCTCCCCTTCCTGCCCCGTCCCTTCCCTCCTCGCTCCTCGCCCCTCGCCCCGCTCCCCTCGCCCCGCTCCTCTGCAGGCCGAAGAGACAAGCGAAACCTGCCGCAGACGAAGGCTTTTGGGATTGTAGCGTCTGCACCTTCAGAAACAGCGCGGAAGCCTTTAAATGCAGCATCTGTGATGTGAGGAAAGGCACCTCCACCAGGTACTTGAACTGTTACCTTTTGTGAAAGGACTTTTTTGTTTTTAATGTGGAGGAGAGGGCAGTGAGCTATTCGTTTTGCCCTCTTTCCAACTTGTTGATTACGGCTTCTACCATTGGTGGGTGATGCGTGGTTTTGGTTGTATTTCGTTTTGGCTGCAAAGCCTCATGTTGAGTAAATGATGTCTGGTTTTTGTCTTATTTCAAACAGACACTGAATTTACTTTATACTTGTATCCATTGGCTCATTGGTATTGGCGCCCTAAAGAGAGGAAGCAGTACTTTGCTGTGGATTGATTGTAGGGCAGAAGAGCTTTTATTTTTGGATTGCGCAGAATGTTTTTAATTTGCCGGTCTTGAACTATTTTTCCCTTTGAGACATTTAGTGGTGGTTATACAGTAACGCTGGTTGTGCTTTTCCTGTCTTGAGCAGCAAATGTTTGTTGTTTTCTTGCACTTAAAAATAAAGATTGAGCTTTGATAAAGTGCATTTTTTGGAAAGCCTAGCTGTCCGTTTGGTGTGTTTTTGCCTGATCTTGGCGCAGAGCGCTGATGGAAGACGATTTTGCAAAATGGTGAAATGAATTGTGTGACTATATTGAAGTTTGCGTTTAAAACTTGATGATAATGAAAAGTGCTGAAAGGATTTCTTTTTATTTTGGTGAAGTAGTAAACTGCATCTGGTGTCACATCTAGAGGCACTGGAGTGAGAGGCCAGCGCTGATGTTGGAGTCTTCCAGTCTTCTGACTTCCATCTTGAGTTTCTTTCACTGATGGTATAATTTGAGGTTAAACTATTCTTGATGTCATAGAATGTGCAGACATTGGAATATGTGTGTGAAAGTGAGACAGAATGAGTGCGTTTTGGTAAGTCCTTGAAGGCTTAACTTGGATTGCCAGAAGCCTCATTTCATCAGGTACTTGTTTTTGAGTTGGTGGTATTCCAGTATGACTGTAGTAGTACTCCATAGTTTTAACTGGATATTTTTCTTTCACTAACTCAGTGTGTCTATTAGGATATCATTGCTTTATTTATATGTGGAATTAAATAGGATATTGGGCAGGCTAAAGAATATAACAGATGAATTGGTCCTATTACTGATGGAACAGTTCTGTGAATTCCACTATCTCTTTTAGAAAGGAGACCTTTGAATAAAAATACTCAAGTGAAGATATTTCATCATAAGTAGTTTTTAAAGTAAATTCATGTCAATTTTTTTGTATTATAGAATAGATTAATTTAAAGTAAAAACACTCATTGTGAGCTTAATAGGTTTTTCTCTTTTTTTGTTGTTGTTAATCCTCACCAAGGATACTTTTCCATTGATTTTTAAAGAGAGTGGAAGGGAGGGGGAGAGACAGAGAAATACTGATGTGAGAAAGACACATTGGTTGCCTTCAGCACGCGCGCACGCACCCAGAATCGAACCTGCAATCAAGGGATGTGCCCTTGCCGGATCTGAACCCAGAACTCTTCAGTCCATTCTGAGGGGCAAGGTGGGGGAGGAGTCGGGCCAATGCTCTATTCACTGAGCCGGACCAGGGAGGGCTAGATTTTGTTTTGCTATCCAAAACAGGGAATTTGATCAAGTGGCATGGAAGTTTAGAAATGTATGTGTTATTTAAAGCAATTGCGATGGTATTTGTGAGTACTTTTTTTTACACGTAGATTCCCTCAGAGGCCAGACCTCTTTATTGTGGTTTTGTTTTGATTTACCGTAGGTGATGTTCAAGTAAGTGACTAGGAAACTCATAAGAACTTGAGAACTTTACTGGTGAAAAGAAACTTATTACCAGATTCAAAAGTTTGCATATGATATATTGCTGGGAACACTTACCTCAATAATGAAAAGCATTTCAGTTTCTACATGTATTAAAAATCTGACTCAGCCGAAACCGGTTTGCCTCAGTGGATAGAACGTCGGCCTGTGGACTGAAAGGTCCCAGGTTCGATTCCGCTCAAGGGCATGTACCTGGGTTGCGGGCACATCCCCAGTAGGAGATGTGCAGGAGGCAGCTGATCGATGTTTCTCTATCATCGATGTTTCTAACTCTCTATCTCTCTCCCTTCTTCTCTGTAAAAAAATCAATAAAATATATTTAAAAAAAAATCTGACTCAACAACTTTTTGGAAGCACATGGGAGATTTTGATTTTACAAACTACGGAAAAAAATATGGATGTTTAAAGTTTTTTTCAGAGTCACAGATGACAGTGAAATTCAGTTTTTAAGTAAACATTAATTATTAATTAAAATATTTTAGAGTCTATTTAGGAATAGGATACTCACCTAGTATCTTTAAGGATCTTTGTGTAATTTCTTTATTGAGTAGGCTTTGAACACAGATTTCAGAGACCTGAGGACTTAATGTCTTATCAGCTCATGATAGATACTCTTACATACCCTAAATTTGATTCATTTTGGTTACTGCCAGTATTTTGGTGTTTTAGAGCTAGTCTAGAAGTCATCACTAATGGAAAGCAAATAATATTTGTTCTTCAAGTGGAAAGGTAAATTTCACAGGTTTTGATCTTATCCTATGTAGCATATTGATTAATTTTTCTGATCCTAGATCAGTGATGGCAAACCCTTTGAGCTCAGCGTGTCAGCATTTTGGAAAACCCTAACTTAACCGTGGTGCTGTGTCACATATAGAAATTTTTTGATATTTGCAACCATAGTAAAACAAAGACTTATATTTTTGATATTTATTTTATATATTAAATGCCATTTAACAAAGAAAAATCAACCAAAAAAATGAGTTCGCGTGTCACCTCTGACACACGTGTCATAGGTTCGCCATCATTGTCCTAGATACTTCATGTTTTTTTTCCTGGGACTTTTCCTTGTAATTTTCTCTGTACTTCAAAGGTTTGACATTTTCTGCCTTGCATAATGTTTTAGTCAGACTTGGTAGTGATGGTAGTAGAAATCCTGTTGCTCGGTTTTTGGATGCTGGGTAATATGCAAAAACTTGTAATTTTTAAATAATTTTTCTAACCTGTTAGTTTTTCTAACCTGTTGACTGGCATAGAAATTGTGTTTTGTGTTCTGAGCTAGTGTTTGGTTTTAGAACAGCAGCTGGTTGGCTAGCCCAAGGTGATTTTTGAGTTAGTTCATCCTCCTTGTCGTCATTGTTGCCATCATTTACCAGTCAACCAAGAAGTTAGCTTTGAATTAGTGGTAGTCCAGTAGGACTCAGAACTGTATTTATCCTCTGAGAATAGAATTGATATTCCTCAATTGGGTTAGGAAAATATTGCCCCTTATCTAGAGAACATTTTTATATTCTCAGGATGTGAAAGATACTGCTCAAGACATTGGGGAGAGGAGGAGGGCGTTAAAGGTTGGTAAGACGGGTACCAGAATGACCACACTCCAAGGTCTGAAGGCTCTAAGAGAGGTATAAAAAGCGATGGGAGGTTGGAGCAGTCTGGCTTGGGGATCAGTTAGGAGGAGTCCCCCTCCCTTTACTTCTTCAGAACAGGAGAATTGATTTCTACAAAATTACCTGCCTACTCTTCACTATTACTGCCATATATACCAAATATATTTAATTCTGCAGGTGGAGTCAT